AGCAGTCAGCACAAAGGGGGAGGATGAATAGGTGACTGATTGAACCGAGGATTGCAATCAGTCAAAGGAAAAACTGAACACTTAGAAGCTCGAAGCTCTCTCTGACAGTAAAGCATGTGCTGTTTTTACTCCCACAGCAATGTTTAGAAAACACATTTTCATGCCTGATTTCTGCTGAGTTCAAGGTGCAGCTTGCAGTGCTGAATTTTCCCCATGATATCTTTTCTGACAAGACGAGAAAACATGTTTCTCAAGCTGCTGCTGGTTGTCAAGGGAACATTTCTGAAAATGAAGTATGCTCCGAGGAAGCTCACTCAAATATTTGCATAAAGGCAAAATATGAACGTTTTATTTCTTAAAAAAGGAACCACTTCCACCACAACTCTAAACCCCGAGACGAGAGAGCCGCAGCGTAGCCGCTCCATGGCTCCCTATCTCTGAGTCCTGTGATTGTTTTCTGGAGATGCTTTATGTTATAGAGAGTGCGGCTTGTCTTTTCTTATCATCTTCTATCTGTTGTGTGTTCGTCTGCCTGCAGCTGAGCGGTGATGATGCAGTGTCCCTGTGCAGGAGCCAAGGACAGCCCTCTGAAGGAAGCTGATGGACAAAGAGAGAGAGAGGGCAGAGGAGGAGAGAAAAGACTGCTGGATGTTCTCTTCAGTCTGATCCAGCCTCGTAAATCATAAAATACAGCCTTGTGTTTGTTTAACAGCATAATGACATTAATCAGGACGGAGGACTTTGACACAAACTACCAGTAAAAACACATCAAACCTGCGGATAAAAATCAGCTTCATCTAAAAGAGACAATAACCTTCAGAGACGGTGATTTGACTCCTGCTCTGCTCATGAATTATAAACACAGGGAGACAAAAGGGAAAATGCTGAGCGGCGATAAATAAGGAAATTGGACAGGTGTGATTCAAAGTCTGAGTCCAGGTTAAGTGTGGTTTTAATGGAGAGGTTAACGTAGTCCCAGGCGGGGTGTAGCTCACAAAAGGTGTTTAAATGAATATGTAAATTAAAGATCACAGGATGAGACGTGGGAGGAATAACAGTGTGCCGATCTCATGCTTATTTTAAGGTGAACATCAAAAATCACAGACTGGCAGAGTGTCCACTCAGACGAAGCTGTTACCTGAGCGACTTCGACCCGAGTAGTCAGTCGGTAACAGTTTAGTGTCCGGCTCGAGGACGCGGCGATTACACATGGACTAAGGTGTCACCCACCTGAGGGAGGGGTTACTGCCCTTTGTGATGTCATGAAGGGAAAATCTCCTAACGCACACATTTTCTGAAAAGTGGAGCAGGCAGAAGATGGAGAGGATGGACTTTTCGCATCATTGGGGTTTGTAGACAGACTAAAGACACATATTAGTGTCAGAGAAACATGGTGAAGTGGATTTCATATCACATGTGACCTGTCAAACAAAGTAGAACAATGATTCTATCTTGTTTTTTTCCCATGATTTTATTTTTTGCCTCCTTGCCTTTACCTGACAGGACGGTGGACAGAGTAGGACATCAGAGACCGGGGAATGACAGTTCCATACATGGGGCAGGCGGACTAACCACCAGGCTACCTGCGCCCCCAGATTTAGGGTGTTTTAATCCTCCATATAGGTCGAGTAATTTGATTGTATCAAAGATGAAGAATCTTGCGTTTTTACTTCTTACAACAAATAAGAAGGTTTCTGTTAGAACTGAAGTAACAAGGTAGGTATTTTATTTAAGACTTTATTGGTTAACATAAGGTAAATAATAGTTTTGTGTAAATTACAAAGCCTTTTATTTCATATTAAATAAATAATGAAATAAACTTGAGCTTTCATGCCGCAGGTCACACCTACACATTCACACACTGATGGTAGCTGTGTAAAGTATTAACTCATCCATTCATACACATTCATACACAATGTGGGGTTAAGTGTCTTCCCAAGGACACATTGGACATGTTACTGCAGGAGCTGGGGATCAAACCCCCAACTTTCTGATGGAGAGACGACTGATGACCACTGAACCACAGCGGCCCCCATATAAACGCACAAAACCCGATAACCACAGGTCACAGTATTGCATAATGTCCCTGAATTATAAATCTGAAAGTTAAACACGTAATGAAGATCTGTTGTCTTAAAAGCTGAATCGCCCGTCACAATAGTAGAAACTTCTCAGCACCAGCTGCTATCGAATTGTGTTTAATAATAAAAACAGAATGAGAAGAAGAAAAACTGACGTGGAAGGAAGACTAATTTACAATATGCAAAGGAGGATATCATTCATCACTCCGCTTGTCATGGCTCAATTATGGTCGATAAATCCAGAGGAAATAGTCAATAAGCTAAGCCGGGTGAAAGAGGAGCGGCATGAATTCTCCGTACGCCTCCATGATGAAGTCATAAACAGCCACGATGGTCGCTGTCAGCTGATCCACAGCTGGTAAATCTGTAACCATACCATTCATGACTGCAGAAATCCGCCTGATTGATTGCAATTAGATTCAGTTGTCATCCCACAGTGTGGTGAAAAGTGCTGCCACACGGCATAAAAACCAATAGTTTTGACTTCTCAATAACGACAATTCATGAAGTGAGCGCTGAATGGCTTCATACTGTAGTAATGAAAGCAGTTTGGTTCCTCTGAGGGGGGATTATCACTAATTGGCCCAGCTGGATAAACAGAGCTGCTGGTGTTAGCATACTGCACAGCAGAGCAAACACCAACCTTTCCCCACCTTCCTGCATTTTGCATAAGTATTATCTCTGAGCCTGGGCATTATTACATCTCAGGGGATAAAAATGTCCCCATGACATTTAGTCCCAGCCCTGCGAGTCTCCGGCTCCTTCTTTTTCTCTTCTCATCATGTCACTCTGCCATCTCATCTCGTTTTTTTCCCCCTCTTTCCTCACATCTGTTCCTCCCATCTCCCCTTACCCCTCATCTCTTTCGGTCCCCGGCCCCATCTCAGGCTCCTGATTCACTGCTCTGTCAGGAGATCAATAGAAAGGCTCTCTGTCAGGAGGAGCCACTGCACACCCCCTCCACCCCCCCACCCACACCCACCATGTCTCCACAGACTGCAGACACACAGCCCGCTGGGAGACCGGCTTACTACATGTCATACTGGAGAGCATCTCCTCTGCTCTCTCCTCCTCCCCTCCTCTCGATCACTTTTCATCACTGCACCTCAAACCCGACAGAGGGAAAATAAAAAAAATGCACAGTGCTTTAATGGGCTCCTCAAAGAAGAGGAGAAGAAGGGCTTTTTTCGGGAGCCAAAAAATATACAGCCCCAGAAAATAGGATATCAGCAAAAGACACAATGTGCAAAAAAGAGAGAGGGATATGAGAGAGAAATAAAAAAACAGAGGGAGAGAGAGAAAGAGAGAGAGAACTTGTGCATTCAGCTAAGCTGCAAAAGGCTGGCTCGTCTTCCCTCCCCCCCGCTCCCCGCCTCTCTCCACCCCCTGGAAAAGTGTTCTGTCTCTCTCTCTCTGCCTCTTTTCTCTCTGCCTGGCTCTGCAGCTGTGGTCTGCTGAGCGTCACCTCCACACAGCAAGTGCCTTTACTTGAGCAGAAGAGAGAGGAGGAAGAGGAGGGAAGCTGCGAGACAGGGAGAAGAGAGAATCCCAGGAGTGTGTATGAAGGCACCGCAGGAACCTCTCTCCACTTCGCAGAGCGGGCTTGAAGAGTGCACGGAGACAGACGGCAAAGGCAGGCGTTGTTGGAGTAGCACAGCGCTGGCGGTGTTGGCAGAGTGTGCTGAGTGGAGACTGGGGAATCCACTGGCGCTGCTGTTCCTGGTGTCTCTGGCAAGAGCTGCCTGAGCAGGAGACGGAAAAAACGGTGCAGCAGCCAGGATCTCGCCAGGGGGGGAAGCATTTTACCGCGACAACCGAGCGTGAAGAGGGCTGAAACCTGCAGCACACAAACACACATGGGACAACACACATGCACACTGCTAAGTGGGGAGGGATACTCAGACAGACGCTGCATTTTTAAAGATTCACTACAAACACACTTCTTCTGAAACGCACAAACTTCCAGACACTAAATCCTCCTTTTTCTCGTCCATGGATGGAGGGTGATGGAGAGGAAAACTTCTGGATATGAAATTCTCCTTTAAGCAGGATCTACTGAGGAGATTTTCCCACTAAGAATAACTTTTTTTTATTGATGGGAGTTTCAGATTTAAACCCTCCATCAAAGCACAGCACAAAATCGGCTCTATTCTTAGTGGCAGAGACGGAAAGCGGGCTGTGTGACCATCGGGTTGCCTCCTCCTGATTCACTGTGAGCAGTAAGTGGATTATGACAGCGATATTTTGGGATTTCTCTTTTGCTTGCAGAAAAGGGAGAGAAATAGATCCAGGACTGGTGGATTTTACGTGCGTGAGAGAAGGAGAGGATCTGGTGTGTTTTCTCCTCCTGTGGATTACAGATGGGCTTTGAGATCTGTCGGTGCAGTCTCATGGATGATCGCTCGCTGCCAGTCATTAGGAGAAAGTACAAAGAGGGACAAAAGTGAGTATTGAGATGGATTTAAATCTCTGAAGGATGAAGCTCATATGAAATGTGAATCTGTAATGAGATCAAACAGAAGCAGCTTTTTGTTCTCTTGGAAAACCAGAAAATAGAAGTCGTTGATGAAGCTGCTGTGTGGTTAAATTATTGATTATCAGGGAGTGAGTGGTAGACGCACAGCCCTAGATTTATTAAATTTACAAAAGTGAACAAGTGTGTTTACAGACAATTAGCCAATGAACATAATTTATTAAATGAGGGGTGCTATCTGCCCGGCAGGTGGCTCGGGCGCGGGAGGAGATTGATTGAAGTGATCCGTGTGAATCCCATTAATGCATCCTGGATCGTGGCCAAAAGAGAAGCAATGGAGGGGAGCACCGCTGTCTAGCTACACTATCTGATCCGCCTCCTCACTGGAACAACTGAGCCCCTCCCCCCCCCTGCCCCCCTGCATCCCCTCTTCAACAACACCCCCCCTCCTGTTCTCGCCCAGGCAAGGATGGTACCTCCACCTCCCACCAACAAGCCCCACGTGTGCCTTTCCACCATCCTGATCATGAGCAGCATGGCGCTGATCGATGCCTACCTGGTGGAGCAGAATCACGGCCCGCGCAAGATCGGCATCTGCATCATGGTGATGGTGGGAGACATCTGCTTCCTGATCGTCCTGCGCTACGTGGCGGTGTGGGTGGGCGCCGAGGTACGCACAGCCAAGCGAGGCTACGCCATGATCCTCTGGTTCCTTTACATCTTTGTGCTGGAGATTAAAGTCTACTTTGTGTATCAGAACTACAAAGCAGACAGGAAGAGTCTGGACGCGCTGGCGAGGAAAGCGTTGACGTTGTTGCTGTCTATTTGCATCCCGGTGCTGTTTATAGTCCTGGTCGCCATCGACCACATGGAGTACGTCCGAGCCTTCAAGAAGCGCGAGGAGATCCGTAACCGCCTCTTCTGGGTGGTGGTGGACCTGCTGGACATTCTGGACATCCAGGCCAACCTGTGGGAGCCTCAGAAGAAGGGTCTCCCCCTGTGGGCCGAGGGCCTGATGTTCTTCTACTGCTACATCCTGCTGCTGGTGCTGCCCTGCGTGTCCCTGAGCGAGATCAGCATGCAGGGCGTCAACATCGTGCCCCACAAGATGCTCCTGTACCCCATCCTGAGCCTCGTCACCATCAACGTCATCACTCTGTTCATCCGCGGGGGGAACATGATCCTGTACAGGGACGCCCGCGTGTCCGGGATCCTCATAGGAAAGAACGTGCTGGCCATCATCCTAAAGACCTGCAGCTTTGTGCAGTATAGGAGACAGTTACAGAACGCTTCTCCCGCCTTCGGGGTGGAGCTGCAGAAAAACTCGGTGGCCCACGCTCGCCCTGCCCCCACCCCCCCTCAAGTGGTCATGCAGGACCAGACACCCCTCCCCGAGATGACGACGTGTGAACACACATGACAGAGAGACGAGGTGACTCCTCCAAACGTCTGTATGAATGTGACCCTGTGGACGCCGTCAGGGCTCCATGTCCCACGCCTCTCAGGGCATGTGAACGCTCCTGTGAACACGCAGGCGGTAGCGTTCTCCTCTACAGGCACACAGGACGCTGCGGGCGCTCAGTGACTACGGAGTGATGCTGAATCCAAAGCTGTCATGGTGCAAAAAAAACCAGCATCGGTTGTGACTTTGTGTGAACATTCAGTAAACTGTGTATTTTTTCTAATTGTACAAAAGAAGAAGAAAAAAAAAAGGCAACTACTGCGAGACTAGAGGATATATTTTTTGAATTGTGTGTGTTGCATTCTAATCTTAAATCTAAAGGGTCTGTGTGCTGTGGTGTGTATTTCTGTAGCTCGAATGTTCTCCGTAGTTGAAGGCTTTAACATGTCAGAGTCAGAGAGAGAGAGAGAGAGAGAGAGAGAGAGAGAGAGAGAGGGAGTGTGTGAGAGAGATAGAGAGATAGTGTGAGAGAGAGAGAGAAAGAGAGAGAGTGTGAGAGAGAGAGAGAAAGAGAGAGAGTGTGAGAGAGAGAAAGAGAGAGAGTGTGAGAGAGAGAGAAAGAGAGAGAGGGAGTGTGAGAGAGAGAGAGAGAGAGAAAGAGAGAGAGGGAGTGTGTGAGAGAGAGATAGAGAGAGGGAGTGTGAGAGAGAGAGAGAGTGTGTGTGTGAGAGAGAGAGAGAGAGGGAGTGAGAGAGAGAGAGAGAGAGAGAGAGGGAGTGTGAGAGAGAGAGAGTGTGTGTGAGAGAGAGAGAGAGGGAGAGAGAGAGAGTGTGTGTGTGAGAGAGAGAGAGAGAGTGTGTGTGAGAGAGAGATAGAGAGGGAGTGTGAGAGAGAGAGAGGAGTGTGAGAGAGAGAGAGAGTGCGTGTGTGAGAGAGAGGGAGAGAGAGAGAGTGTGTGTGAGAGAGAGAGAGAGGGAGTGTGAGAGAGAGAGAGTGTGTGTGTGAGAGAGAGAGTGTGTGTGTGAGAGAGAGAGAGAGAGAGAGAGAGAGTGTGTGAGAGAGAAAGAGAGATAGAGAGAGAGAGAGACAGAGAGAGAGAGGGAGTGTGAGAGAGAGAGAGAACAAGAGCTAAAGCTGTCTCCAGAAAGAAGTGTGTTTTTACATGTGGTTCTTTCATAAAGTATTGTGTATAAGATAAAAGGCTCTCCTGCTCATTCACTGCCTGCTGAGGCCTCTTTAAAGGAGTTATTGGACCGGTTTTTAATTAACATTCAGCACATGTCCTTCAATTAACGGGGTTATCAAAGAGACAGATCCTCCTGGCTGATCGTACAATTAGAGAGTGGTGTCTTTGCTAACTCGTTCTTTTTCAGTGCGATGCTTATTTTGAATTATTTTCTGCAGTCACAAGAACATTTTGACCACCGCTAAGTGTAGCTTACGCGCTGTCGCCATCGGACAGAATAAACAGCCGAGGGGGGCGACGCCGCACATGGATAAATGATTCTCTAATAAGAAAACCTGTTTAATATCCTCCTCAGGCGCTCGCTGACTGTCTGTGCTCCGACTTAGTGGCAGATCTTTATAAGCGCTGTCGTTTTTGTTCTTCACACAAAAGGACAAAACAGCTACTTTGGTCCACTGATGTGAATCCAAACAACAGCCAAGAAAGCATCACGTCTTCTTATACGACAAACCTCTTTCTGTCTCCAGTCTATCTTTTTCTCTCCGTCACTTACAGCTGAGTCACAGCTGCTTTTCATTTTTCTTCTTTCAATAACGGAGACATTTTAGTATCTTCCTAAAAGGATGTTTTACTCAAAAGAGACGTTTTACAAACATAGGCCGAGGTTCAAAATGACAAACTGAACATCGAGGTGGTTCCAGATGATGCAGAGCAAATAAGCCCACTATACCAGGAGAAAAATAAATATGGCATCTTTCAAAAGGTTCTTTCTGTTATACTCAGGTTACTTCTATTTGCATGATACCCTGCTTACAGTGACTGCTCTCCTGATTCAAATCAGACGGTCTGTACGAGTTCAAACTGTGAGAGTTCAATCTGTGCAGAACCAAACTACAGGAAAGTGATTCATCAGCACAAACAGAACATCTCATTAAGACTGCCCCAGGAAGAAGAAGAGAAACTTTATCAATCCTGTGAGGGGGGAATTAAAGTTTACACTCTGTTGTTGAACATGCTGCACACAAACACATGCACACACAGGATCCTGTGGACGGGCACTGATGGAGAGATTACAGAGTGAGGGGGAGCTCCTGAGCTGGTTGGGGAGGTCTGGGCCTCATGCTCAAGGGCACCTTGGCAGTGCTCGTCAGTGATCTCCAGCTACCAGACCAATTTCCAGACCTTGTCTGCACCGTGACTTGGACAGGCGATCCTCCAGTTCTCAACCCAAGCTCCCTACAGACTCAGCTACTGCTGCCCCCCGTATTAGCTTATAATGTGAAAACTAAGGCGATTTCACGACTCAGTATGGACTTGGATTGCTTTGTTTAACTGAAGTAAGGTTGTCAAAATTATGATACTTTTCGTAACCAGGTGTTTATAAAAGATACAATCTGTTATTTTAATGATCAATAGCATCGAAAAGTGCCGAAGCTTTGAAAGAAAATAAATTGATATCCAAAAACACATTGGCAACATTTTAGTACAGTGCAATGTAGACAGTGTGCAGGAGTTTGTCTGCAGTGTTTGATAATAAAAAACAAGACCACTGAGTGTTGATGTGGTTTCAAAACAGGTATGATTACTGTTTGAATTTTACGAGTATCAAAGTTTATAATCCTGGTATCATGACGAGCTTACACAGAGCAAAGGGATAAAACCTCCAGATTCAGAGTTCAAGGGAATTCTCTGCAGCTTTAACTCTGCGTTGAAGTTGGATAAAAACCTTCTCTTTGTTCTCCACCGCACGTCTGAAGGTATTTACTCACAGTCTGGTTTCTGGTCTCACAAAAGACAACATTGGAGTCGTTTTGAAAGTGACTTTGGTCTTGTTGATCTTCACTCTCTCGTGTAGCGTCTGTCTTCATGTCTTTGAAAAATACTATGACACACGAGGTGTATTGTGTGAAGGCTTTCAGGTGTCCCACAAGGCCGAGAGAAAGAGAGAGACAGAGAGAGATGCCTATGACGAACTCTGTCCAACCAGCAGACGGCGCTTTAATAAAAGAAAAACAACTTTTTGTTGGAGGTATTCTGAACACGTGAGGACCAATGGTGCCAAAACTTTGTCAGACCATGACCCCCATATAGCATTGACCTCAAGCGGGGACCCCCTCTTCCAACATTTCTTAAATTCCTGAACACTACGGCAAATATCAACCTTGAGAACGACAACACATTTGGTCACTTCACTTCAATTCTTACTTCTTAAAGAGGACATATTATCCTCCAATTTTTCAAACAGTCCCCTGTGGTCTAAATGAAACATCTGTCTGTGCTTTGGTCAAAATATAACATGAATCAAGGACCAGAGGAGGTTTGTGACCCTGTATCAACCAGCTCTCTCAGAACGCTCCGTTTTGGTGTGTGTGTCTATATATGTTCAAAAACACTGTGAAAGTGGATTTATCATAATATGTCCCCTTTAAAGTCATACTTAAGTGCTCGCTCTTAATGAAACGTTTAAGACGCCTGATTGGCGGGTCTGTGGTCATGGCTGTTTTGTAGCTCAGTCATGTTCACATGTTTCCTGGTGGTCTCATCTTTATAGTCATGTTTTTGTAGAATGAGATGGCATGCAGCAAGTTTTCAGTTTACTGATCCATCAGTGTCACTCAGAGCAGCTGCTTGATTCTGATTGGCTGGAATGTGTGTGTTTGGGGCAAACCAAACAACAAGTTAATTGAAGTTATTTGTTCTTTTAAAAAGAGGCTTTTTCCATCGAATCACAGTTTTGATGTGAGAAAGAATCCTGTCAGTGGTGGTCTTGAAAGGTCTTGATTTAAAATATGGAGTAGCCTGAGACTGAGACAAGACCGAGTAGAAATGCTTGCGATTCCGAGATGTGACCAAGACTTTTAAAAAGAAGTGTCGAGACCAAGAGCGATCTCTACAGTTAAGGTTTCTAAATCACTGACGATGCGTCTGTTTGTATCTGAAAAGAGTAACCATAGCGACAGGGATGATCTAAAAATCTGGATCTCCTGATCCCAGCAGAGGGCTGATTCAGAACCTGGTTTCAAAACCTTCCGTTTTCAGGTCCCCAAAACGCCGTTATTGTGTAAGAGAACCGCCAAAACACAACAAAAGGTTACCCCCTCTCGGCTGTAAACGTAATCTCAGGCTGGACGAGTGACGACAGCACAAAAATGTGATGAAAAAACAACATTTAAACAATGACGTTGACTCTTTAGTTTTATATGTTTGGATTTGGCGCCTCCTGTGGACAAGATAAGATAAGATAAGATAATCCTTTATTTATCCCACAATGGGGAAATTTACATTGTTACAGCAGCAAAGAGCAAAGATTGCAGATAAAAAGTGAACACAGTACAATTTAAATAAAAAAAAGAAAAAGAAAAATTAAGAATGTACAAAAAAATAGATACTAAAAAATAGATTTAAAAAATAAAAAATAGATCAGCTATTTGTCAAAAGTGTAGTCTGTAATATTCAGTGTAACACAGACATGCACACAGTGCACATAAAGTGTAACATGTTATTGCACAAAGTGGATTGGTAAACATAATATAACATTAATAGCACATTATTATTGCACAATGTCAGAGTGAATTGTCCAGTTGTGTGTGTGTTTTGTGATCTACTGGGAGCAGGCTTGGTTAAACAGTCTGACTGCAGCAGGAAGGAAGGACCTGCGGTATCTCTCCTTCTGACAAAGTGTGTATTTAAGTTTTTACAACTGAAAATCTGGAATTGGTCGTCTTTAAAAGGCTGTTCTGGGATCAGGTAGCTCTAATCCAGTTTTTTTGAGAATCCAGAACAAAAGTAAAACCTGATCCTGGATAGAACTAAGGCATTCTCTCTGGATCGTTCTGATGGATTTAAACCTTCTTGAACCATCAGAATCAGTTTTATTGGCCAGGTACGCTCACACATACAAGAAACAGGACTTCAGTAAGCTGAGCTCTCTGTGTGGAAATGTACAACATTAAATATCAACAATAAACAAATAAATGTAACAGATGAGTTCATTTTCATGAAGCCAGTGTGCAAAGGTCGGTATGAGATGAGGTGGGTAACAATATTTACATAATGTGTTTAAAATGGGTACTGCAGTCTAAATTCTAAACATTGTCTCCCCCTGCCCCCTCCTCTCTAGAATTGATGCTACACTGCTACACAATGCTATTTCACTACACATCTTACTGATTGGACCTTTAAATCTGTTTAATACACACGAGTAGTGATCAACGCTCATATTGCACAGGAACCGACTAGTTCATGTTTTACTCAGACCCTCAGGTGTTACGAGGGAAATTGAATTACTTTTAATCTGTAGCTTTAAATTTTGATCACAAAACACAAGAAAA